AAAAAAAAAAAAAAAAAATAGACAGAATTATGATTAATATTAGTTATATATTTAATTTATAATTTTTAATTATGATATTATCAAACTTACTATCTATTCCAAATATTTAATCTTTGCTTACGTATTTATTTAGTAGATAGAGGAAAAGAAAGTACTAGTAAAATAGGGTAGTCGCGCCATTTTGTGCAACAAGGCAGCTTCAGAGCGTTGCATGGCCGCCACGTGTCACGCGAGGAGCACGAACACATTGCCCGTAATTTTGTAGGATCGTTAGGATCGTGCGTACGTGCCCATATATATTATGTATAAATTTGTATGTATATATATATGAACACCACAAGTTTCCATTGAAAATGGCTGATTATGCAACTGCAAACAATATGGAGATTAAGCACCTCTCGACCATCGCCAACGACGTCGTTCGGAGATGCGCCCAGTATGCAATCAAAATCTCCTTCTTTTCTGTTTATTTTCTCGATTATATTGTTGATATTTGCATAGCCCCCCCTTTTTTTTTTAATTGGAAGATGCTACAGTCCCCCGTTACGGAATCATTCCGTCGGGTTTGTAATCGTTAGATCATCATGTAACCGTCAGAAATAGTTGGTCTAACGGCTACAAATCTCAACGGAATGGTTCTGACCCGCAGAATCTTTCTTATTTAATTTTTATATTGAATTTGATGATTGTTCATGGAGATGAGGTTATTGAGAAGGATTATGTCTCATTTAAAAGAGAAGGACCTTAAATTTATGCAATAATTAAGAAATGCATACTATATATTGATGTTTTCTTGATCCCATGATTAAGTTTTCGTGGTATTGAATTGTTTTGATTAGAAGAAGTTCATTAAATTCGAATTTTTTATAGAAAGCTCGATGCTTCTGTTTCGTCGCTGGTCGAAGAGTTCGAGAAGGAGTGGGAGCCTCAGATGGCAGGCTACTCGAGGAAGTTGGTAGAATTTTGCTGCTCGAGAGCGCTTATGGTGATGTGTGTTGCTATAGATGAAAATATAACTAATGGCACCTTTAGCCGCTTCACATTCGATATGATGCTTGCTTGGGAGGTGCCGAGCTCAGCAGACGAAGAATCTCGTAATGTGAGGGGCACCTTTTCTTCCTACATTTGTTTCGTAAACTCGTCAAATATTATTGTTCCATTCATAATTTTCTCGTAGGAGTGTGTGGCGAAAGAGAACGAGGAGAAGAAGGTTCCTGTTGTGGCCGATGAGCTACACGACGATGTTTCACTTTTCTATTCAGATCTCATGCCGCTCCTCGTAAGTTGTGGGTTCGTCTTGTATAGTTCGAAGCATTTGAGAGAGAGAGAGAGAGAGAGAGAGAGAGAGAGAGAGAG